CCGGGCCGGTGACCGGGCCGGTGGCCGGGCCGGTGCCGGGCCGGTGCCCGGAACACAAAATAGTATATTATGGAGTTAGTATATTATGCTAACTCTAGCCCGTCGTCTCCGAGCAGAAACAGACAAACCAGCCTCGCGCTTCGTCTCGGCACACAAAGGCATAGCCAAAAGTTCTCGCCAACGGTCATCATGATGCTGGCTTCCCCTTTCATCCGAATTCTCCATGGTCATGCAGTCGGCCTGATAGTCCACGGGCTGCCACCCCTCAGGCCCTGAAATGGCAGCCTCAACGTCCGTCATGAGTCGCCCCCGCCTTCGGCCTTACCCTTGCCGGGTTTCTGGCCCTTGCGGTGGGATGCTTGCTCTTCTCGTGCTTTTCGTGCTTCCTTTGCTATGGCAGCTTCTGCTTTGAGCTCGTTGGCAACGTGGGCAGCCAATGTTGAGTCAATGCCAGCTCCGGAGCGCTTGTACTTCCACCCCATCATCAAATCTGAGGAGGTGTAATCCGGCTGTCCCGGTGAGATTCTATGGGCCTCACGGATCACTTGGAGCCTCCTGCAAATAGGCTCTGCTGACTGTAGGGCTGGGACGTTCAACTGATCGACCACCACCATTGACTCCAAGATCCTAGACAAACACTCATGCTCATACAAGGATCGATCACCTCTTGGAATGTCTGCTGTGCGGAGCCAATACTCATGGAAGCTGCTAGGCGTCATGGCCTGATCCCTCAACTCCTTCATCAACCTGAGAGCTGTTGCAGGCCCGGTCAACTGAAGTCCGCCCCCTGCTGGTTCTGCATTGTCCATGTCAGCAACTGCCGCATTGAACTCCCTCCTCCGAATTCCCTGAGCATCAAAAGAAATTGGGAGGAGACGCAAATCATCCAGTCTGTAAGCAGCGGCTTCGGAAGCCTTCACCTTTCGAATCAACACGGCAGTACCTGCCACTGGCAAAACACCTCGCTCACCAATGACCATACTGCCGGGAGGTAACACTGCTGGATCCCGAGCAACAACATCGCCCTTCTTGTGAGGTCCACCATCTTCCAAAACAACCCAGGTATCAACTGCCTCAACAACTGCTACCCCAACCGCCCCGGCACCAACGGAAGCGCCTCCGGGCGGGGCAGCCGGGGCTGCCCCTGGACGGACCGCCGGTGCTGGAGCTGCAGGTGCCACTCCAGGAACTGCTGCTGGTACTCCATGAGCTGCTCGATGGGCATCTGCAAGCACCTGTCCCTACTAAAGGCACCCAGCTCTTGAGGGGTGAGTGGATCAAAGCCGTATACATGGGCTGGATTGATGTGAGCCGGCACCATCCCTGCTTCCCCACAATAAAAGAATCCAGTGAAAGCAGAGTTACCTGGAGCCACTTCCTCAATGTATATATCATGATCTGGTGTCAATATTGCCCAATCGGATCCTCCAGCGTGAGCTAGAAGGGCCCGACAGTGCCAGATCCGCCCTGGCTCTCCGTAGTTCACCAGCACTAGCCCTCCCACGTTCATTCCGAGAGCTGCATAAACCGACTACTGAGACCTTGGACTCCCTTCCCGCCTTTCGGCGACCCAGACCCGCTCTTCTGCAAAACCTGGATGTGGTACAGCACTAGGCTCAAGCCTACAGCCAGAAAAAACGCTAGCACGCTCAGTCCGGTGGTGAGAGGATTCCAGGTCTCTGGAGGTGTCGGAAGATCACAGGTGCAATGACAGTGACAAGGAGGAGGTGGCAACGGTGTCTCTCTCGAGGGGCCTTTCGTCCACAGGCCAAATGCGATCGCGATCCCTGCCACGACCAACGACGGTTCCATGGCCGAACCCCCCTCAAGCACTTGAGATGAATGTCACGGCATTCAACTTCGTTCCATCATTCATGAGTGAACTCTGTCCATAGTGTCATGACGTTGAAGATATATAATGTATGTCATTACGTTTTATAATGAAACCGTCTCCAACAGAACAATAAGCTACTAGGAGCAAAGGGCATCGCTACTAGTAACAAGTGCCTTACTAGGAACAAGAAGCTAGTAGACACAAGAAGCTACTAGTAACAAGTGCATCGCTACTAGTAACAAGTGCCACGCTAGTAGTAACAAGTGCCTCACTAGTAGTAACAAGAAGCTACTAGTAACAAGTGCATCCTGGTCACCAGGTCACCCTTCCGACCACTCCGAGTCTGGGCGCCCCACGCCGCAGGCACCTCTGCAAGACCCTCCAGCGCAGGCAGAAGCAAATGGAGCTCAGTGGTCTGCAGGTTTCCCGAGGAGGGCGCCATGCGGAGCGCCCACCTAGGAACAAGAAGCTACTAGGTTGAAGGCCATCGCTACTAGTAACAAGAAGCTACCAGTAGCAAGGTGCCTTGCTACTAGTATCAATTAGCTACTCGAGAACCTTGATGGGTGGATCTCAATCTGCCCCTCCCACCCTGGTAGGTTACACCCCCAGCCACTCCCAGCAGGGCAACTCGTGGTGGAAATCCCAGTCCCAGTGGCGCGTGCACTCCGTCATAGCTCTTCCAAGCTGACAACCCTGCGCCTAACCGCAGGAAACTCCCTAGGGAGGCCAGTGACAATGGAACAGGCAGCGCTCCCTGCCATCGAAACCAGATGCGCAAGTGGTGAAGATTCTGGATTGAGTGGTATAACCAGTGGGCATCAGTGGGCTATCTTTACAACCAGAGCTGCCAAACAGCAGATTAGAACATCTCTCAATCTAATTGGGGCATCTCGCCAGTGGTAACCAAGCGCTAAAGCAGACGCCCTTCAATGTGACCCGCAGAGGGTGTCACAGAGCTTTCCGAAGCACACAAAAAGCTGCCCAAATTACATGAAGTTTCACGAACTGCTCCCAGTGCTTGTGCCGTGCCAGTTCTGCTTTTTGGTCCAGTGCCTCATGCCTCGGACGTGCGAAGCTCTAAGGGAAGCCGCACAGCAGGTGCGCCGAGGAAGGAGCGCCAGGGCGAAGGTTGAGTCGACCAGTCCTCGACGCGTATAGAGTGGCGGTATAGAATGCTATGGCTGGGAGGATGGGGAAGGAAGAGAACATGTTGAAACATGCAGTGGCCGAGATTCTTCTGGCGATGATGTTTCGATCAAACAAAGTGAGAAGCACACTCGCAAAGCGCGTGTTCTTGCAAAGAATGGCTTTTGATTTGGGAGACTATTTAGCAATCTGGGCCCCACAAACTGCTGCGGTTGCCTAACGCCCGATGAAACGCCCGGTCCAGCTTCGGCGGAAGCTCTGCCTGAATGTCCAGAAAGTGTTTGCCTCACTCAATCAGCCAAGCCAACATGCAGACTGAAAGAGAGAAACAAGCGGCCACAGCATCTCAAAATGTACTTGACATTATTCAGTTGTCCACCCAAAAACTTGTTCACGCAAAAACTTGATCAGCTTCTCAGCCCCCGCAAAGAGAAGAAATCCACATACCTGGAGACCCATCACATGTGAAATCCATCCTTTCAGCAGATCAGTTGCTGCGCCAATGGTACCGCAGTACCTCCTCAAAGCGATGTCTCCTTGGAATGGCCGTGTGAAAGCAGCCACGCAAACAGAACTTGTACGCAAAAGACATATTCATATTATTATTACTTGCATTAGAGGTGAAAGCGGCTGGCACATCTTCCACAACTCTTGGCAGCCCCCGCCGAAACAGGGCCAATATATTATATGCCAGTATACAGCACTGGCAGTGAGTCAATTGGAACCAAGAAGGCTGAGACGAGGTTGATAAGAAATCACAGCTGGTCATTCACTAGGTCGCGGAGACAACAAATAACACTGCCTCACATCTGGTTCCCGCTACCAAGGAAGAACATCATTCATTCTGCGACCTTTCCGGAAGACACGAAAAGGTCGTCTCTGTTTTTCAAGTATAGAGAACTGGAAACGGACCAGACCGGCGGTGCACCCGATCGACGGAATTCACCGGAAGAGGAGGTCGATTTGGTATCATATATATATATATAACTATATATATTCATATTGATACCTAGTAGTTGTTGACTTGGGGGTATCCCCTCTTTCAACCTACAATAGTAAGAGGCCATCTCTTTGGCTGCTTTCCATTCCTCCCACCCCTTGACTGCCAGCGTCAGGGCATCGTTCTGTGTGTCGTTCCCTACAGCTGCTGTCAGCGCAGCCAACGCCGCCGCCGGCGGCTCACGAGGGTCCAGGGCCCAGCTCGCCAGGGGCAGGACAAGCTCCAGGACGCGCATGCCATGGGAAATCCCAAAGTGAAAGGCAACATGTGGCGATTTCTGGAACGAGCGTTCTGTTTGAGATGGTTGGTTCTGGCTGGCTTTGGGTGTTCCGAGAAGTTCCTCCAAATCGCTTGGAAAAGAGCGTCCAAGCCTTCTAGCATCTGACGTCGGCGGTTCAGGGGCAGGCGTAGGCATCAAGGGATCGCAATCTCAAGCGTTTTCAGTGTTTCCTTCAGAACATGGCCTCCTCATGGATGAATCGATCTCGCTCCTCACCCTAGTCTGTTCCACTTTCAGGTTCGTGTATACAACATAGTCCTGTCCAGTTCTTTCCTTTTGACTCTTGACCTGACTCTTGACCTATTCTTTATTATAAGATCTGAAAGTTTCCTGCTGCCTCTCTGCTTCTGTTTGTGGCAGCTGGACACATGAACATCTGCGTATTGGCTGAGATTCATGGAATGAACTATTTCCACACTTTGAGAATACATCTTTCCCTTGGTGAATTTTGTACCCCAAAGCTTCTGGATCTACCTTTGCCAGTCAGAATCATAGAGGCGCACCGTGGGACTGGAACGGCCCAAAGGTCCATTTACTGGCATTGGTTCCTCATCCGAAACCCCCAGACTTCTTCATGCAAGTTGAATCTCCTGACCACTGCGAAACATGTGATGTGGATTGCTGTGGCACATATCGCAGCTTGTGAGGAACTCATCCCCCAGCAAGCCCCCCATGGTGCCTCAACGGGGTGGAGACAAACATTCACTGGCGCATCTAATCAAGCTTATGTTCTTTTCCACCAGTCTAACCAGGTCTCTGAAATCATGAAAGCACGTGGATGGCGTTTGAAAAATTAAACCCCGTGGACCGTGGACCCTCAATCAGAACACCAAACAGGTGCCAAGCCCGCCTCGTCAGCTCCACCGGTCCCCTGTAGGGCCCTGTGCAAGCCCCCTAAGTTCAGGGAACCCTGCTTCCTGGAAGAGGCCCAACTTGCGAGAAAAATAAGAACCAAAGCTTTTCATGGTTTGCAGTTGTTACGTATCAAATAACTGGGAAGCATGGGATTGAAGATATTGAAGCCAGCTGTCTTTCCAATCATCAGTGAGTTTCCTCGTGTCCTACTCAATCCTAAACAACATAGGTCTTCACCATCCGGACCATTCCTATTCGGGAGGATTGTCATCCCGTCCACCCTCTGCCCTAGTGATTTCATGTTGACCATTCAGAAGAAAGAGAGTAGTCTCAGCGAAAAGTGCCTTTCAAAAGTATCTCTACATGTGTCTAGTATACATTGATATATTGGGAAGTGCTCTGGGGGTGATCACAACCTGCACTTGGTGCGTCCAGTCAGGGAGTTCCTCAAGATTCGCCGAAACCGCCGAAACCGGCATTTTCCACGCCCAGATGACCAACCCTCTGGGACGCAGCACAGCGGCGTTCCAAGGGGGGTCTCACTCCCGTCGGTAGATGGTCAGAGCAACAGGAATCTCAAAGCGAGCAGGAACGACACCTTCCAACAGATCCCTTCCTTAAGGCGTTGATCCACTCAATTGATGCGCAGGTGTGGTGTCCTGTTGGAGGTTGATCACGAATGATCATTTTAGAGGGTCAAATCGTCCATGTTCCAACCCGAAAACGAACTGGTAGAGTTAAACGGTGTTAAACGAACCAAAGATCTTCACTGTTCTGGCAGGGTCTGCGCTCCTTTCCGTTTTGCTTGGGCCGTGGGTACTGCTCTTCCCCACGGGCCGTGGGTACATTGGAACAATCTGGTGGAACTCTCATGTGCTTTACATTTTACATCACCCAGATTCACCCGCTGCAAGCACCTTTTGGGAGCCCATCGACTTGCAGGGTGGCACCCTCGAGATGTTTTATCTATGGCTGCTCTAAGAAGTTTTCTGGATCCCAACCTCTACGTGCTGATTGATTTGCACACCCTTGTGAGAGTTCGAACCCCCTTGGCTGTACACAGCGGCGTATGGGGCGCACCTGGGGACGCCCCCGCAGGCGTCTTTCCACAGGTCGACGATGGATGCGACGATGGATGCAACGAGTTTGTGACACTCTGATGAAGACATGGCTGTGGGTCATGGCACACGGACGTTGACCACCAAGAATGAACAGAATAAACTGCTTGAAGTGGATGGCATGGCCCCGAAAGGAAGACGACTTTCCTTTACAAACAGGGGGTGCCATCCACGTAACCGTGTGATGTGCTCGTCGTATTTTACGTGGCGTTTCCATGTGAGTTTACAACCACGTGACATGGCCACATCGTGGCAAAGGATCTCAGGACATGCCCCACAGTGGGGGATTCTTGGGAGGAAACGCATGATCTTCTGATGTATCGGAATTGGATGGAGGTCCACTTCTTTTCAGCAGCACTGATTTCAGGGTTCTCGACCAGCATCCATCTGGCCCCCTTTTCATGCACTGGCATAGCTCGGGGAGGCGCTGGCAAAGAAGAGTATCGTGCTGTCAGGATGTTGGAATCTGGAGGTGACCTGAGGGATACGCAGTGGTTCACATGAGAGAGAGTTGCTTTATGCTTTTGAGATGTATATGGTCCCCAAAAAAAAATGACAGAAGTACATGTTTCAAGGAGGAAAGAATGTCAATGTCCCAAGACAGTTTTTGGTCAACAAAGGCCAACGTGCAATGAGAGACTTGGATGTGCGAGGAGCTACGTTGCTCTATCTCTCCACGGTCTGTAGCGAAGCTAACAATCTCTTTGGTAGCGTGTGAGAGGGTGGAAAAGGGAATGTCCTGAAGTGGAGGATGACAGTATGACCAATGTCTCGGTAGCGTATACACTGTTTATACAGTATATATATATATATGTGTATGATATGCTATACTCAAATATAATTAACTACTTTCTAAATATGTGCATGGATTTGATCCAACGGTCACGTTCCTATAATGATCTTTTGCAAATCAATCTAACCTCCTCCTCCTCCTCCTCCTCCTCCATCAACCCTGGAGTCTCTCCAACCCATAAAATACATAAAATACAAACACTCCATCCACACGCCACTTGACGAGAACTCCTGCACAAGGTGCCCACCATCAGGGCGCCGATGGAAAAAAAAGGTAAATTCAATCATAGAGTAACATCAACTTGAGTTGCGAGAAGACTCGACCCCCTGTGGTACCACACCTCGAGCGGGGCGATCGCATTCTCTGACAGACACACCATGGGAGATTGGAAGTCTGCCAATTGTGGAGCTTTTGGACAAATGACATGAGAGTTTGGAGCCACAGGCAGAATCAGGCTGACCAATTTCTCCATGGAAAGGGAGGAAGAACGAGGGGTTGGGCCGCAGCCCGGATCTCACACCTACCTTCACTCTGTAGCTGCTGCTCCATCAATCGTCCGGATTCTTGACTTGTCTGACTCAATCAGAACGACAGGCAGCCAGCAGGCTCCCAGCTGCCTGAGTCAGATACCTCACCATTTGGGAGGGTGAAAACTGATTTTAAGTTCCTTCTTTAGAAGATCTGAAGAATTGTTCTACACCTTGATGGTTTCAAGAAGGCTCCACCCAGTTCAGGTCTGCCAGTGAATCCCTCCGAAGTGCCAGCGCAAGGTCGGGGCACGGTCGTCAGCTGATCTGCACGACCGTTCTTCGTTTCGCATTGGTGCGGTCACTTCCTTCGAGAATTGACCTTAAAAGACACATGAAACTGGTAGAAGGAGTCCACATGACATCAATCCTCATCTTCCTCAGCGCGGTACCCAGCGTCATCCAGATGTTTTTCTCAGAGTGGGCTTGCTGAAAACCGATATCCCATCGGAATTAGGAACTGACCACACCGAGGTTGGCCGGGACAAAGGGAGGACCTGCCGCGCACCGACGTTGCCGGGCAGCAGGGCACTTGTTGCGCCCCCCCCCGTCATTCGGCAAAAACTGTCCGCTGTGACGGACCAGGAGAGACCAAGGCGTGAGAAGTGGAGAGGTGCTGGAGAGGTCTGTGGCCCTGTCGGCTGTGACAACGCGAACGAAAATAACTCTTCACGCACGAAACTTCACCATGAAAATGGAACTTTGAACTCTGGGGTACCAGCCGCTAGCTAGCAAATACAACGCCTCCTCGTTGGTTCTTTCTTCACCTAAACCAGAACAGTTGTTCGGTGTTGCACCTCTCTTGAAGCAGATTTCTTGACGTAGATTCATGAAGCGAGGATCTTTAGCAACATTGAAGCCAAAGTTGTTTGGCCCTTCCTCATTGAGTGCAAGTCATTAGGCTACATAATTCATCATATTCATCATCATCGTCGTCGTCGTCAACATACACAGACTCGTCTTGGGAACTCAAGAATTGTATATGATGATATATTGTCCTCTACAAGTAGTCTAAATACGTCTGGATCATCTGTGCACTGTGCACTGCGCCCGCTCTTTTTGGGCATGTGGATGTTGGGCCCAACACCACTGCCCTTTGCAACACCACGCCAAGCTCTTCTGCAGCGCATTGGCTCACCCCGAGATTCGTCGCTCTCGGGGTGTCTACGGCGAGACCCGACGGCTCTGACGGATGCGGTGGTTTCTCGGTCAAGGCTCCAAAGTCCTCCCAGGAGAAAGAATCGGAAAAGAGGGTGCAGTTTTGGACAGCCCTGATTCAACATGGTTCAACCTAGAGTGGGAAGCAGAAGTGTAAGTTTGTACATCTGCGGGACCTTAGACCTTACGATTTGGACTGGAGGGGAGCCCAAATCCTCTTGCTTGCAATGCCTCCTGAAGAAAACCCATCTGGTGACAGCCAAGGAAAAATCATGATGCAATGGGTGGCCCAACCAACACCTACCAATCAGCTCTCACACACTTCAAACCATCCTGCTTACCTGTTTGCACTCCGGAGCCACCAAAAGTATCACTTAGTGATGAATCCAAAGGTGATCAAGCTGCTAGGGAGGTTCTTGTTTGGGTCCACTCAACACTGATGATCGCGCCTCCTTCCCCAGCGTCGGGTGATCTTGGGCTCCTGAGCGAGGGTCCACGAGTCCACGATGGCCCTGTTGCGAGGGTCTTCCACGAACGTTTTGAGCAGTTCTTTTGTGTGGTGAGGGAGTCTGCAGGACGTTTGGACCGAAGAAAATGAACATGTGCCTTTACATAGCTCTCAGGGAAATGGCCACTTTCTGCTTCTGTTTCGTGACCTGCCCACACAAAGTCGTGGTTTGCACAGTCCATGCATGGTCCATCTCTCCCCTGTCTTCCAGCATGGGAGCACGGGCCTCAGGAGACTCCTGCTCGGGGGGGCTTGGCTCTGAGCCATTGAGATGAGAGAGAGGCACATAACCTGGCAGCGCCGTTCGATTCACCGTGCGACTGGGTGTGGCTGATTGTGGTGCTCCAACATGTGTTGCAGCTTCAGTAGGAATTTAGGTGGGTTGGTATGGTGAGCAAATCTGGGATTTTCAGAATGTGGTGAATGTTCACATGATATGTCATACTCTAAGCCCCGAGGTGCTCGGTCAAAGCTTTTTTAGCTGCTTCCAGTGTTTATATAGATGGTGATTTTGGAGAAGTCGTTTACCTTGATTGGCGACCTGAATGAGTTGAAAAAGCCTGTGGCAGGCCATCCACATGGAATCTGCAAGCCCTGGGCTATACAGTGCCACAAGACCCGAAGCCATGGCAACATCACACCATGAACCAAGCCTCACCACTTCATACCAGTTCCAAGTGGATAGTGACTTGTTGTGCTGGTTTTGCTTAAGGTGATTAGGTATTTTCCCTATGGGCCCTATGGGTAAATCCGGGAATATTCTTGTCCAGGTTCCTGAAACAAATCCAAGTTGTAGAATGTTATGGGGAGTTTCGGGATAGAGGACAAGTGGTGATGTTTGTTTAGACTGCTGGGGATCTACATGATAGGCTCGTAGGTACAAGACCTCTTTCCTGTGGTCCTCAAGTTCACCTACCTTTCAATCAAAACGCAAGATCATACAAGTCTTCACTTGCTCCAACTGTCAGGGCCAGCATATGTTGCTTTCACGTCCCATTCTTCAGCCAGCTTGGGAGTCAAACTGTAGTAGGCTCCCTTTTCGCCCAACGCTGTTCTGGTCACCCAACGCCGCTCGAGGTCACCGTATGAATTCCGAGGCTCCATCTTGGAGAGCCACATAGGCGAGCCCGTTGAACTCCTGCTTCACCAGAATGCCCCAAGCCCAATATCCGCCTTCCTGCAACGAGCAAAAAAAGACTGCTGAGATGGCAGGAGATCAGCAGGGCTCCTGAAGAAGTGGCTCACAGGGTCGTTTGGCATTGGCTTTGCACCAGCGCAAGGACACACTCTCCCCTACCATCACACAAAAAGCTTGGAGCAAACAATGTTAAACTTCGACTTGAGCTCAAGCCATGAAACGGGCAGCCTCAAACCAACTCCAGTAGTCATCGAGCTTGAATCCCAAGAGCAGTCTGCAAACTGGCTAGCTCTCCTTCAATTAGCGCCTGAACTGCCAGCACCAAGATAGCTTTCTTTGGGCCATGTGAGGAGTCTGTTGAGCAAATAAAGAGTCTGTTCTGATCTCATGTGTACCACTGTACCACTCCCAATCCAACAGAAACCTCCCTGAGCCAAAAAGAAGGATGCCCAGAACCAGTCCTCCTTGGGTTGCTCCCACATGCGCAGAAAAAGGTCACCTTCCATCACTTTCAGCTGATCAGGCCCCTGCGGCACAAAGCCACGGTCCACTGTCAAGACTGGGTAGCCTCGGGCCACGTATGCAGCACGAATCAGCCGCGAATCCATGGCGTGTACGTCTGCGTGTGTTGGTGTGTTTCGGATATCTTCCGAAAGCGGCGAGTGGAAGCATCAGCTGCTTTCCCTTCCGCGGTGCACGTGGCGCGGCGCATTTGCGGGAAGCTCTGACTCTTGCATCACAGGACGCAGGACCGCGGGTGCAAAAACTGGAACCCAAAGGCAAAGTGACATCCCAAACTGGGATTATCAGTTTCCATTGTATGGGCGTTGTATGTTTTTTGCCGTAGTCGGGCTGTGAACGTTTGAGTATGATTCAAGGGTATGATTCGCCATGAAACTATGTTCTAGCACGAGTTTTGAAGTGTGTGATTCAGTGGCATGATTCGAAGTGGTCGCTACAAGTAACAAACCCATACAGAGATTATATGAGGTTGTAGAGCAGTAAACCCAATGGTAATGGGTGGACATATTGGCAAGTAGGGTTTTGGTGAATGAAAAAAATGCCCCCCCAAACTGCACCAGTGTCCTTCGCTCAGGTTTCTTTTACCCTGCGCTCCTCCTTTCACCAGGCAGCTAGTCAGGGAGCTTATCCCAACAACACTCAACCCATGCACGCCTCCCACCGGAAAAAGAACCACCTCGGCCACCCGTGCGCCCAAAAACCCGTGCGCCGACGCACGGGTAAGCGGAGTGGCTCTCGAGCATGCTGGGGTCGATCTGATGACCGTAGAAACCATCGCCTCGGCCGTTTCCAACGACCGCCGTGAGTTCGAAGAAGAACCGGATCAGGCCGCTTCCGGCACTGAGAAAGCGCTCAGAAAGCGCTGAGAAAGCGCTGGAGATGTTTTTCTCCAAATGCCTTGTTAAACATTGGAGGTGTTCAGTTGGCACCTCACAACGTTTGTGAAGAATCTTGTTCACAGACTGTGGGGAGAAGGTCAAGCTCTTTCCTTCTAATCCCCAGTATAGGTGCCTGTCAAAGAAATAGGCACCTTCATGCACCTTTTGAGGGAGGTTTCAATACCCCAGTTCGTTTCAGAGCACTCGTCATCCTCCACCCAAGCTTTTCCACCCCAAGCTGCTTGTCTTGCTGACGAGTGGCTGTCCTCCGCCTGAGAGGAACTCATGCGGGACATTACTAAGATAGCTGAGAATGAAGAAAACCAGAGCAGTTCCTCCAGGACTCCATGTTCAAAGATCCATATAATATATATATATATATATATGGCCTGTGAAAGGCCAGTCACAGATTCTTCATGAAGCTGTTTGGCAAGTAGGGTTTATTGTTGTACTGAGGTTGTGCATGGTTGGGTGTTGGATATGAGTGCTGGTGAGACATCCATTAAGGGTGCGTACACCATCCAAATCTATAAAGAACTGTCAGAGTTTTTTAGAACCAAATACTTTAGAACTCAAGAAAGCTCTTGAAGGATGTCCTGCTTCATAGCTCGATGGGATAAAGGTCCAAAATGTTCATGAATCGTGAAGTTTCAACCAGGGACGACTACGGAATCTGTGAAACTCCGTGGTTTGCTCGCTTACTTTTGCTTCTTTCGTCATAGGCAAGGAGTTACCATCTAGCAACATGCAAACGATTGTCAAAATTAGAAACACATGGCTAATCCAATAAGTGCTGATTCACCACCGAGCGAGTCCGGGACTTATCACCCGCCCTGGTCTCCCACGGTGGAACGACCAACGCCGGGCCCGTTCGGCCCCCCGTTCCTCCTCCGCTTCGGACTCCTCGACGTCGCTCTCGTTCTCGTCTCGTTCCAGGCAAGCTTGCACATGCGCATCGATGGCATCGGGATGGAACTTCTCCTGCCAGAAGCTCCATGTGGACGAAATGAGCGACACGGCGACACGGCGACACAGCGACACGCAGCGACACGCGTGTCAGCCGCACGCGCAGCTGACCGTGTGGACCCGGAGTTGGGGAACTTCAGGTGACCGGGGTGGCCAGGTGGGGGGGGAGTTGTGCCGAAAAGCATGTCCACCATCGCAGTCAAACCTCAAGGCAGCCAGAGGCATAGGTCAACGTGCCTTCAATTTCTATCTGGCGAGGGCTTCTGGCGCCTGCAACACCTTCAGCAGGGTCTCTGGGATACTCTTTGGGCCCTCTTCCGCCGTGTGCTGAACCACCTTCTACAGCCACCTTCTACACCGCGGGTCTCGCACCAGGCCCTCCTGGCAGAGGGGGCAGGCTTTCCAGGACTCCGTGGCCAACGGATTGGCCAAGCATGCTTCCACGTGCGAGGGCAAGTCCTTCAGCTTGATCCTCTCTTGGCCTCGCATTCGGAGGCGCTTCGGTTCGGGCCGCTTTCGCGAAAACGACCCCAATGAAGCCAAGGTGGCTGAAACGGGTCTACTGCTGGAGAGGGTGTCCAAGTTAAGAAAACAGTTGCTGACCAACCAGCCACCCCAATAGTTTTCGGCGAATGTGGCTGTTCTTCGGGAAGTCGAGTGCTATCAAGTTCCAACCGTTCTCACACTGATTCAGTATCCAGTATCCAATTGGATCCAGGCAATCACACTAGGCAGTCGGCAGTCTCGTTGACCAGTCGGCAGTCGGGTCGCTGGACAGCGTGGTACCGGTGTGCATGAACCCAAGGATTTCGGTGCGTGATCCCGTTTGTGCAAGGAACATGCAAGATGAGTAGGAATCCAGCTTTCTGTTCTCTTAGTAAAGAGAGGCGTCCTCACCATGTGTATGCCCCAAAGCACTTTGTGTCAGTATTGTTTTCGGTCTACTGTGGACTTGATCTCAGCATCCGCCGTTGTTGTAACCAGTCATAGCTTCGGTTACAGCCTCATTCACAAGTGAAAACTCGGGGTCAGGGCCCCGAATGCCGTTTGACGGGTGTGAAGCATTCCACCCAACATCTGTGACACCATGCTCACACAGCTATAGTCGTGGCTCAAATGAGTACCAGTCAATGGATGTAAATGGTCTTTATTCAAAGAAGGAATCCAATATTGAAACATCCTCACATGCCTCACATTGACCATAAGGCCTCCGTCTGTTCGCCCCAAAAACAGAAGAAGTAAACACATTAGGGCACACCAAGTCGCAAATTGGGCAATCTTCGTACAACTCCGCTTCCTCGACCTCACGGGTCTCCAGCTGTGGCAGCATCCAATCAGCAGCAACTGTGGCCACGGTGCCTTGTGTGTCTTCGAAGAACCACTCCGCTTCTCGCTCGACCTCACCGGTCTCCAGCTGTGGCAGCATCCAATCAGCAGCAACCATGGCCATGGTGCCTGGTGTGTCTTCGAACGGCTCCCAATCGTCAAAGGCTTCCTTGGATCCAACCAACCGTGATGCAACGCCCAGCGAGGACTGCAAGGACTCAAAGATGGGCATACACCTGTTTTATGAAGAAGGACATGGAGAGGTAGAGGGACAACCCAAGTGGATTCAGGGTGGGTACTCATAGTTGGAGCAAGAATTTCTACATGCCAAAGCGGGAAGGTGCTCTGCAGGTTCCCAGCATCTGCTCGCACCAGCAGACACTGAAGGTGCCAGAAGGAAACAGGGTGGATCCCATGCATCTCCGACTCAAAAGGGGCTGCTTTCTTCGGGTCAGCTTCTTTCTTCCTCACTGAGGTGATGTGAAAACAAAGACTTCGACTTCGAGAATGTGGTCACGTCGAAGACGCGTGAAGAACGAGAAGAACGAGTTTTGGTGCTGAGCTGCTTCGTACTTGTCCTCCTTCACCTTTTTCTTTGGTACTGCAACCTGTACAGGTCGCCTCGGCCAAGTCCGTGTTGCGCTAGGGCCACTCGGGCGTTGCACAGCGGCTGCGGTGGCAGCTTCCACCATCGAGAGCTTCGGAGGCGGCGTGGTGTTGTGGGAGAGCAGCATGTGTTGCTTTAAGGTCTTGTAGAGGCCGAAGTTGTTGTGACCTCGACCCACGTTCACAACATCAGGTGACTAAAATTGGTGGGAGGTTCAGGCAGTGAAGAATGAAGATGCAACATGCACAGCATCCAGGATACTCAGGATACCTTGTCTGCCCACCATGCCAATGTCTAAGGGGAAAGTACCCCACTGAAAACTAACATAGACCCTGAAAACCACTGGTTTGTAGAGGAAAACCGTCCATGTTAGTTTTTCGGGAGTGTAGATCAGGAATCGTTGAAAACTTGAAGCCAACAATGCACGAATCTGTTCTTCTACTCGCACCCTATAGGCCTTCTGAGTTGCCCCGATGTCCATCGGCATACGTGGACGATGGTATTCGATGTTGGCCCCACATCTATGATAGAAACGACTCCTAGTCCATCCTCTGCTACGCAGTAGTGGACTGGGTTCATGAGAACAAGAACAAAAGGAACCAAACTTCTCTTCAAACTACTTTTCGCCCGCCACAAGTTCACAGAACTTCCCCCCATCTTCTATAGTCTCAAAAAAGACCCAAAATTAAAAGAAAATCCCTCCATCAGATCGTGTGACAGACAGGGCAGCTGAAACTCCCCAGCTTGGGTGGCGACTTCAGCTTGGGCATCGCCCGAATCCGCTGCCGCGCTTCCGTCGCGTCCTTCGGCTTCATCGCACCCCCCTGTTGGCCGAGCCATAGCCAGGGGGCAGCTGGCTAGGATTCGGAGGGGTCATCGCCTTTTCTCCCTCAGTTGTTGCTGAAACACTTAAAGGTTAGTCTCTTTCCACCTGTTGGGGCTAACCAATCCCCTAAAAAGGTGAGCCAGCTATTCACTGCTTCCTGAGGTTCGGCTATCCAGCGATCGGCTATCCAGATGCTGGAGTCTGTGTTCCTCAGTCGAGAATGTTGAGACCACTTCCGGGATCCTGTGCCAACTGGACACTTGTTTGTGGATTTGGGGTGCAAGTGGTTGCTCGTGTGTTCTCACCTTCCTAAAGCTTGTACATGCAGCGCAACTTAGCTCGTGGACAGACCGCGGTGGACCCTGAGAGGTCCAGGTGGACCATTTTCCGAAGACCAGGTTGATCCTGCGAATCAGCAGGCCCGAAGCCGAAGTCCTAGCGAAACCCGAGCAGAAGGGTGACTTCAGGAATTCAGCCCAATCCTCAATGGACGTCCAATCGACTTGTATATATGTATATACAGCCATGTTTCCCCAAATCACACCGCTAGAGCCAACAAAAAAGGCGATGTCCAAACAGGTTAAGTGGCTTTTACAAAGTTCATCAAGCTTCTCATGGCCTACTCGAGCGCTGTGCTTTCCCGTCGCTCTGCCTCGTTCCTGGCGGACCGTGCCCTCTTGCCCTTCGTCTCAGCCTGGATTAGCCATGCGCCCGGCGCAATGGCCTGGCAGAGAACTGACGGAACACGAGAGACAGAAAATGTCTTTCTGAGTTTGCACGTGATCTTTAAAACTCAAGCGACAGGTGTGTATATCGTCACTTTTTTGCTTGAGAAGTGTTCATGCCTCTTGAAGTTGCTATCAACATCAGTTCACTGGTTTGTCTTGTCAGAGTGAAAGAGAACAACTTTATCATGATCCCTTCAAAGTGAGCCTTATTTTACCCTTTTGACTCAGACTGTCATCTTGTGAGGACACTGCACTGCGACAGTTACCAGAACGCTCAACCAGAACGCTCCACCAGAATGCTTCAGAGTGCTCCACAAAAAAATGAAACCTTGAGTTCCATGTGTGAGGAGAACTTGCTAGCACCACCTTGTGTTTATCATCGGCAAGCAAGCGAAGCCTGCCTTATTTGGCAGAGACCACAAATCTGTACCCAGGAGCATTCACCTAAATTTCAGATGCATAGGCTACATTGGAAACAGGAAACACCGACATCTGGCCAGCTCATAGTCATAAACACAAATACAATCAAATACAGATAAATACATCCCTTAAGCCTGACTGCATGGCAAGTGCAAGAAGCCTCCAAGCACGTCCGCCCCATGTTTCGACCAAAAACATCTTCACAACCTCATCTTGTCGCAAGGTGAATCACGCCAAAAAGCGAGCGCCGCTTTTCACTCAAGAAATCCCACCCCTCCCAGAAAGGCCGCAAACGTGATCCTGGATATCTATAGGCGAATAGGCGTTCCTCCTGTCCAGACCGACCCCACATGCTCTGTCTCGCCCCAAAACCACCACACCGCAGCGCAGCGCTCTGTCTCGCCTTGCGGCGGTACTCCGCTAAGGTGCTGCCGGCAGGTCCCAGTAGGCGCAAGCCCCATGTCACCGCCGCCTCGCCCACCTGGCGAGTCCGCGAGGCCAAACACGACGTGGGAGTCGGCATGGTTCCATGCGGAGCAACTGGGAGGTTCAGGAGAATGGCCGATGTTGACTAGTTGTTCTGTCAGTTGTTCTGTTGAACATAATAATTAAACATCTAAAGTTGCCCACTCAGGTGCATGAGGTGAAGATCAAGATTGAAAAGTGTAAGATTGCATCCTCTTTGAGCGCATTCAGCACCGATACAATGCAACTGGGCAGAAGGACCTGGCTGTTTTCCCTCGAACATGTGTATTCGTTGTACCGTCAGCATGGCGAGACAGTAGGATACAGGAAGAACAAATGTGAAATCCACCACCAGACCGGCGTGCACAGGAGAAAAATCCAAGAATTTCGGATTCGCCCGATCTCGTCACAACTGTGTTTGATCCTCAGGGCCCTAGGTTGACCACCGTGTTCTGAAACACACATCGAAAACAAGGTGTCAGGCAGCCAGGCGTGTGGCAGGATGCAGGTCATCTGTTGTGATACTTCCGCAGTGGGCTGTATTCTGACTGCTCCAGCATACCCTGATACTAGCAGTCACAAGGATTCTGAAAGCAAGTAAACTTCCAACGACAGGACACATAGCCATTGGGGGTGTAGACACGACCACAAAAATCGCCAGTCCATTTTGGAGATCTTCTTGTCTCTTTAAGAGCCGCAAACTACCAATCACAAGAGAACCGCCAGGCTGCAAGGCCAGGATCACAAAAAAATGAACACCAACACGACACTCCTGCAGGCTTCATCTTCAGCTTCTCCCCACCTCCGCCAGCATGCCCAACTTCCGCAAGCGGACATCCAGCTCCTGGGATGTCACACGGGGTTGGGGGCGGAATCCCCCTGTTTGGAGCCCATAAGCGAACAGCACCGTTTGAACCCCAAAGCGAACAGCACTGTTTTGGGTCTCTTTTTCTGAGCGCAGAAGAGAGGAACCACGTTGGCAACCTTGCGGGCCAACGTGGTTCAGTGCTTTTGAGGGCTCTTCACCCATTAGGTCCACTCTTGACTTAGGTCCCTTCGGCCCTTTTGACCGAGCTCGGGTCGTTTGGGTCCAGGTCATGGAACGAGGCACTGGCCAAAAGCTCCATCACCATGCAAGGGACTCAGAGGTCTCTGGATGACCAGCACCTTCCGTTCCTTCAATCCCTCACTTCGATGAACAGTTCGAGGCGATTGGAAAGGACTCAGATCGACCTTTCGATTCCAAGTCTCAGATCGACTCCCACATGTGCGGGGGAGCCAAGATGGCTGAGAAGGCTGGTGACTGGGCAGATCGTAGTCACCTTGGCTGAGGTGACGAAGCGCCCTGGGGTGTCTTGCCTTGCCCAACAGTGAAATGTTAATAGAATATATAAAGATAAATAGAAAGATAAATAGTATAGATAGAAAATAATTAGACCAATTCTCCACCATCTGCAGAATCCTTGAACCCTGTTCTTCTCACTTCTTGCTTCCTTCTTGTTCTCCACATCGGACGCTCGGACGCTCGGGTGTCGCCCAAGGGGCATGGATCGTACCAAGCTGCGCTCTCCTCCCAGACCTCAAAAGCTTCTTCGTTTCAGCTGTAAACGGCTGGACCAGGACTGGGGTGGATCAAACAAGCCGCCTGGTTTTTTTGCAGTCTGCACCAACAGTTCAGTACCTGGTATACCTATTCGAGGAAGCTGGACCTCACTGCTTTTGCGGAGGAAGTAGGGTCCTCCGAGAATATGCCCGTGGTTGTACATCTTGCGAGAGTAGCTCAGGCATGAAAATGGCCCAAAGCTTCTGCTGGACAGCATGGGCAACGATACCCCTTCCAAAGGGCATCTTCTAAAGATTTGTAAGAGGATTTGCAACTCGTCAATTTGTCCTTCTGCTTATCGAGAGTGTTTTTCCAAAACTAGGCTCCCAACCATCGACGCACACTTCGACGCATGCTTCGCGTGAGTGTGCTCTTCACCCGATATATATAAAGTGGACAATTCTCAACTGTTCCAACCACAAGTGCTTCTTCGGTCAAGAACCTGCTTAAGAGACCTGCTTGGTCGGCCGAAGACGGTGGCTTAAGACAAAGGCTGTTAGATACTTCTGGTACGCATGTTGCCTGTGGATGAATAGGACCCGGCTACTGGATCGTGGTCAGCATCTCAAAGCAAAGGTGTATTCCATCCACAGTCAAGATTGGGGCCCAGGGGGGCCTAGGGGTGCGATTCTGCAGTTTTGGTTGAACCTTGTCCACCTGAAGACGATAGACCAACTGGAACGGGGTTGCATCAATCAGACAGTTGAATCCACACCCACCCATTTGGGGTTGGAGGAGGTCCCTATCTGCCCCTCCCATGTCTTCTTCCAGGGACTGTAGACTGTGAACCGGCAGGTTGCCACACCTTTCACAGACCCCACCCCATGAGATGGATAAGAGAGGTTATAACTTTGGTGACCTTTCGACTTGGTGGATTGCTTCCATCCTCGTGTGTCCAAACACCCAAAACGGTCCATTCTCAGAGCCACGTCATCGTGATCGATCTGTTCACAGCAGCCACGGCAGTACACCCAATAGCCATGCCACCGGAAGCCTCAGGGCCGCTTCTCAAGAGGAACAAAGTAGACTGGGCGGAAAAAAAAGAAAAAGGGTAGACGGTCAGAACATACCACCGAGGATTCGGAGACGCTTGCTCCACGGTTTCTTTAGGATGTAGACGTCCAAACAGTCGAGTGGTGACCTACAAACAGGGTGTTATCCAAAAGTGAAAATGACGGTCAAGTGCATTGTTCAAGCTAATTGTGTGGGTCTGGCAGTACAGTCAGACCTCATGAGACCTCCCAACGAACATGATTCTTTTTTGCTCAGGGGCCCCCAGAGCTGATGAGTTGTCATCTACAGTACACGGTGTCCTTTTCTGCTAAACACCTTAAACAAGACATACAACTCAAGACACTTAACTTAGTCTTGATTGAAAAAAAATATAAAAACTGTTCACGGATTAGTCTTAGATGTTTGCCTGAGCTCCCTGATACAGACAATCCATCCCGCGACTCGTTGTTCGCTTCGCAGAACACGGGACCCAAAGAAATTCAAGAGGGCTTCAATAGCCTGTGATATTTGTGTGGGCTGCTCACAGCGTGTCGAAGATGGGGGAAGGGGGGAAGGGATGACTAAGGAATGACTCAGGGGTTCGACAGGAAGCTCCATTGGCGCCCTCGGCCTGAAAGCCACTCCAAGGCACACTCCGCGCCCGGTGGGCATTGTGGCGCATATGCTTCACCCTGCAGGAGTTTCGCCAGGTCGGGCTTGTCCTTAAGGGAGGAAGGCAAAAACCGGAAACCCAGAACTACGTGCCAGGAAAAATGGTGGGAACGGGTATGTAGTAGTACTTGAAATGCCAGGACGCATGGTTCGCCCCCACAAATCAACAGACTATGGGATTATCGGTTTAGGGTTTTAGGGTTTAGGGTTTGCACCGTTGTTTGCATGGAATTGCTGAGGATTTGATCGTTGTTGAACATATAGAAATATTCAGTGAATGCCTCCTCATTTTCCAATATCTCTGTCATCGAATTGCCAAACCCTATGACAAACCTTCAAATGCCTACAGTCCCTTTCGGATTGCTACTTACAGGGACTTTGCTGATTTTGATGCCCCCTTCAAAGTGCTTGGAGACCAAACCGTGAGTCCGGGCGTACTTCGACTGACACCTTCTGGCTGCATGCCATATTTTGCCATGCTATTGTCCGTTCGGAGGCTGCCATGGACTGGACTGCTGAGGCTGAAGCGGAGACCGTTGGTCTTTCGAAAGTGACTTGGCGGTTTGTTGTCAGTCGATCGAAGTACACACAGAGTTCCATGAGGAACCCTCCATGAATGCGATGGGAAACTGGCCCGATCACGAGTTCCTCGACCTTGGAGACCTGTCCGCCTGTCCATGTCCTTCTTCAGAATAGGAAGGTCATGGCAAATGAGGCACATCACTTGCACATCACGCACCCTAAGCCACCCCTGCCCATCTGACGTGGCGTTGGTCTGGTTTTCCGAAAGCGGGAGGAGGAAGGCGTTGCTTGAAAAACGCTTGGCTTCAGCATGTTTCAGCTGAAAGAACGACTGAAAGAACCCAAATGGGTGTGTGGCTCAAATAGGGAGACAGACCCAAGCCGTAGGCCCCCAAAGAAGGTTCAAAAACTAGACCATGGGATCGCCCTATTCAATTTAACGCCCAAAGCACCCTGGTACTTCTGGCGCCCGAAGCCACCGAAACACTTCCCCAGTCCGAGAAAAATCGAGAAAAAACACAGGGTCCAGTGGGGTTCACTTCTCAAACAAATGGTAAACAGGTCAAACCTATCCGCCGACCCCTGCCGATGGGGGAGCGCGCCAGAGCATCACTGTGGCTGCCGTCAGAAAGTAACGTTGGCAACGCAACGAGCAGCTTCGCGGACAGTTTGCGGGCCCTTCCCGGACAGTGTTTGGGCGTGGCGAGGCAGATTGGCCGGTGCCTTGCGATTGAGTCTCTGGAGTCGTCTATGGAGCCAGGCAGGAGGCAGATTCGGAGCGGCCATCAGAAAAATGGTTGGACAAGTTGCTACTGCCGTCAGAAAGCAAAGTTTGATTCATTTTGGGTGTGGAATTAGATTGGGTAAAGCCGTAGCGAGGCAGATTGCCGACATGGCGGTAGAGACAGAGTCGGAGCGGGCATCAGAAGACAGAAGAAAGATGGCTGGAAAGACTAGTAGTTTAGACTAATTTTTAAGACTAGTTTTTTAAAACTGCCGTCAGAAAGCGACGTTTGGAACTCACTGAGCTGCGGAAAACATTTTTTTTGGTTTGGAACTAGATGGTGGAAAAGCGTGGCGGAGCAGATTGCCGGAGCCTCGCGGGGGGATGGTCTGCAGCTGGTTTTCTACGTCAGAAAGCGACGTTTGGAAGGCACTGAGCCGCTGGGGCGCTGTCTATGAAGCTATGTGTGTGTGGTATTCGGAGCGCACATCAGAAGACAGAAGAAAGATGGCTGTAAAGAGTAGTTTTTCTAAATGGCGTCAGAAAGCGACGTTTGGAACTCACTGAGCCGCTCGGAGGACAATGTTTTGATCAGTTTTGGTTTGGAAATGGAAAAGCGTGGCGGAGCAGATTGCCGGGAGCCTTGCATGGGGGCTGGTCTGCAGCTGTCTAGGGAGCTATGCGGAGGTAGAAACATAGTCAGAGCGGCCACTGTAAAGACGAGCTTCGTATGTCAGAATACGTCAGAAAGCGACGTTTGGAAGTCACTGAGCCGCTCGGGAACTGTCTACAGAGTCGGAGCGGGCATCAGAAGACAGACGAAAGACGGCTGTAAAGACTAAAAAGACTAGTTTTTTTACTGCCGTCAGACTGCGACGTTTGGCATGCACTGAGCCGCTTGGAGAGCAATTCCTGGGTTATCTTTAGTTTCGAATCAGATGGTGGAAAAGCGTGGTGGAGCAGATTGCCGGGGGCCTTGGACTAGTCTGCAGTAGGTTTTCTACGTCAGAAAGCGACGTTTGGAAGGCACTGAGCCGCTGGGGCGCTGTCTATGGAGCTATGTGTGTGTGTGTGTGTCGTATTCGGATCGACCATCAGAAGACAGAAGAAAGATGGCTGTAAAGACTAGTTTTTTTGCAGTCAGAAAGCGACGTTTGGAACTCACTGAGCCGCTCGGAGGACAATTTTTTGCTCAGTTTTGGTTTGGAATTAGATGGTGGAAAAGCGTGGCGGAGCAGATTGGCGGGAGTTTTGGGGGCTGGTCTGCAGCTGGCTTTCTACGTCAGAAAGCGTCGTTTGGAAGGCACTGCGCCGCTCGGGAACTGCCTATGGAGCTATGCAGGTAGAGACAGATAGACACAGATAGAGATAGATTCGGAGCGGCCATCAGAACACAGAAGAAAGATGGCTGTAAAGACTATCTTTTTGTAAAAGAAAGATTGCTGTAAATGGCTGTAAAGAGTTGCTTTTTACCATATATCCTGAGCCGCTCGGAGGACAATTTTTGGGTCAGTTTTGGTTTGGAATTGGATGGTGGAAAAGCGTGGCGGAGCACATTGGCGGGAGCCTTGCGGGCTGGTCTGCAGCTGTCTATGGCCCTGTGGAGGAAGAGCCAGCCACCGAAGCTCTATGCAGATGACCCGGATGCAGGGACTAATCATCCCTGTGTACCTGCCGAACGTCTTTACACGCTGTGACTCCAATGTTCCTTTTTGCTTCCATGTTTGTTTTCATGATACTTCCCACAAACCCTTTTTCTTGCCGCGTTTTGCAACTGAACCACCGCAGCTTTCCGCAGTCATGCGTGAACTCCTTTGAAACATCTTCAACTCACTGACTCAGCCGCCTTTCCGTTCCATCGTCCGTTTTCGCGTGGAATTGAGTTAACTGAAAACCATCTATCTAAGTGTGATATTCATCCAGCGTCGGAAATGGATGAGGACAACCCAGGCCCCCAGAAATAGAGAATTTCGGGTGGCTTTTGCTTCGGATACCGAGGCCGTAAGTGCTTGCGGACTCAATAAGAACCAGGGCGACAGGATGGCACCAGAGTCCTCTTATTATTCAGAGACCAGGAGAAAGGAGATTGCACAGCTGCTTGGTGCGAAGTTTTGGGCCCGAAAAGTAAGAGGTAGTTGGAGAAGGGTGTGAGGAACCCAAGCTCATGGCAGCGTGCATGGTACCGACGCAAAGGGTGTCTTCGTTTGGCTCCGGGAGCAAGCGAGTTCCGGCCGCACGGTGGGAGGCGCGATGTGACGACAACCTGCAGACAAAGAGAACAGATGTCAGGGTCTCCTGCCATACTGTGTTTTGCGCAACACGCACCATGAGCAGCAGACAGCGGGTTCAAAGAAGGGGCAGGGTGTGGCAAACATTAGAGCAGGAAAAGTCTGCACAGTGGAAGATGTCAAGGAAGCAGAGCAAGGTCCGGGGCTGGAGTTTGCAGATCCTTTGTTTTGTTTTTGGTATGGTTGAGTCTCGACGTCAGATGGAGCTGTTGAGGGTGGAAGGGATGACGCTGGCGAGACAGCGCGGTGGATGTGTTTGCCTGGATATGTGGGGGCAGGGTGAGAGAAGAACAGTGGTTTCTCGTGGTGCCCTTTAGGCAACGCCCCTAGCATGGATGGAGAATCATGGGGATGCATTTGGTTGCCATGCGCCAAAAAGTGTGGCCCAGTAGTTTAAAAAACTAGTCTTTACAGCCATCTTTCTTCTGTCTTCTGATGGCCGCTCCGAATACTACGCGCACACACACACACACTCTGGTTTTCCGTTAACTCAATTCCCAGGTGGAAAGAAGGTGAGGGAACGGAAAGGCGCATGAGTCAGCAAAACAGTATTGTTGAACAAGTGTTTCTCAAAACGCTCAAGTGAAAGCGCCGATCAGCTGCGGCAAAACGCGGCAGGAAAGGGTTTAGGGAGATAGCATGCAGGAACCACCATGAATCAAATCGAAAGTGGAAAAGCTTGAGCAACAGTGTCCGGTGCAGGTACGTCGGCAAGCGTCCTTGCCGATATCCTCAGGACACTGCAGAGAGCTTTGTTAAGTGGAGCTCTGCAGGCCTGCTCCACTCCCCTGCTGAAAAAGCATTCAAAACCCAAAAGCGAGGTGGAACCCTTAGGCACAGGGGTTGGCACACACACGGTGCCGCTTTGCGGCGCTCGTGCGACGGACCTGAATAGTTACCTAAAAAGCCTTAGAAAAAAAGAAAGAAACACAGAAAGAGCAGCGCTAAGAGGGCAAGAGAGAAAGGTAGGAGTAGAAAAAAGTGAATACTTAGCCCTTGACTGGGGTAGAGAAACGAGCCTCAAGAGCAACCTAAAAAGCCTGAGAGAAAGCCCAAGAAACGACCAAAAGCGCAAGAAAGAAAGTGGGGGGCAGGGAGGTGTATGTACATGTGTGTGTCCGTGTGTGTGTGTGTATGAATACTTAGCACTCTAGAATTACTGATTACTTAGCGGAAGCGAATTAAATGCAATAGTTAGGGAGCGGGACTTTAGTCTTAGACCGCCCGGGTAGAGAAGACTAGAAAGGGACAACAGAGGGAAAGGCACCGACACACAGGTGTGCCGAGTACCACTTCCCTCTGTTACCCTAATTAGTGGCTAATTAGTGGGTGGGTGGGGTTGGGGTGTTTGGGGTAAAAACCGCGTGGGGGTTCATTCTCCGTACAAGCCCGGCGGCCGTTGAACTCAAATGGTTTTATCCATATAAGCCCGGCGGCTCTTAAGGCAGTTGATCCAGTGGTGAAAAAGAAGTCAGTTAAGAAAATCCAAAGAATGGTGGAGACGAAGAGTCAGTTG